AGAATCGGGCGGCATTCGAACCCGCATTTCACCCTTTTCCGGGGTACGCCCTCGCCATTGGACTACCGACACTCCTGTTTACCATCACTCTTACTGCACCACATTTGCATTTGTTGGAAAGAAATGTTCTAGAGGACAGTACAGATTTTTTTTTGAAATGTAGTCAGGATGCAGTTCTTCAAGAATGATCTAAAAGTGTCCATCGATCTCGTCAACTAATTAGTGATACTTTTGTGTTACTCACTTGTGAATTTGTCAGAATGAAATCACATGCAGTTCGGCCCAACACATTCTTTCGGAGAATCAAGCAATGTTTATTTGATAGCATTGTTTTGAACAGAAGATTCCAGAAATTCCGAAGCCAAAGATGATGTTTAAATTAACCATAAATCGAAAGCGTCTCCAAAAATTTTTGAAGTGAATCTCTCCGAACTTCTGTAGAAACGGATCGAGTGGAGAAACCCTCATCGAGGACGAACTACTGTGGCAATCAATTGAAATCATCAACTCTGAAGAAGGTTAATCGTGTCGAAACGCTAGCCGAGTAGTAATCTTATTGCAAAAATAAGGTCAGAGAAGGGTTTGCAAACGGATTGAGGCTTCGCTGTAAGGATTGTACACTAAGCTACTGAATTTCGTCTGCTTGAATAGTTGTGAGCAATTAACCGTGCTCCACAAACTTATATCTTTATTAGAAGCATAGTTGATTTCAAATTGACACTCATCACACCTCAATTCACTGCCACGTTGGCCGCGCTCATAAGAGTGTTTTTTTTATCTCAATTCTTGGGCAACTAAATAAATTAGGGGATTTCTCTGCTACAAAAAACTTGATTCCTCAATGTAGTTCTTCTATATTAAACCATTTTGATACGACTCCAATTTCTTTATTCACAATAGTGGAATCCCAAATCATTCCTGCTCTTCTCCTGTTTCTTATCCTTCACTTGAACACTGAAGAATTTTAGTACTTTTCGGCTATAAGGGAACAAATGAATATTCGACCTCCTTCACTGTGCAAGGGCTTTTCATAGGAGTGTTAGTAAATCATTCAAAAGCTCAAATCTCTAGCTAGAGAAATACAGGCCGGTTTCTGAAAACACCCTTGTAAAACGTAAAGTGCAGAATAAAATTGTGTTTTTACACAACCACGCGTTTTTTTTATCGTGCTTATATTTCGCTAATGAAAACTCGTTTCCTCGGAGTGTTGATATTTTGTCGATAGCACAACTCTCAAAGAACTCAGAAATTGTTTGCCTCTTCGGAGAGTCTTTTTGATAGTGCTGTAGGAGAAAGAAAACGTTTGTGTTTTGCACCTCGTCGAATAGAGCTGTTTTTTGAGCTGCTAGTAATCATTTGGTAGCTCATCTATCAATGATTCCAACGTTGTACTTATTTTCTGAAAAAATCGTTTTCACTGCAGTGTAGCAGGGGAATTAAACCGAGCCCTATATAGTCGGCTACCTGTTTGCCGACTAATCTATGGACGGGAGGTGGGAGAGACAGGCGATTGACTGATGCCTTGACGCGTTATATATGTAGGTTGCAGCTTGTTACTCAATTAGGAATTTTCTTCGCTTTGAAAGAAACTTTATATAAAACGTTTGATTCAGATACTAAAAGATTTCCTCTACACGTTCATATGCTTTTCGTGCTTCCAGCGAATTATACGCCTGATAAAAATGAAGGGTGACGTAAAAGACAGCTTTATTTTGGAGAGGCGTTGTAAGAGTAATGTTTTTGGAACGTTTTTCGAATGATTATTAAACACTCCTATGAAAATTTTTATACAGCGAATGAGGTCGAATATTTACTTGTTCCCTTCTAACCGAAAAGTACTAAAATTCTCCAGTGTTCAAGAGAAAAAAATAAAAAAAACGGGAGAAGTGCAAGAATGATCTAAGATTCCACTAGTGTGAATAAAGAAATTGGAATGGTATTAGATATGGTTTGATAAAGAAGAACTACAATACGGAA